AAGTCGCGGGACACCCATTTACCCTTGGTCGAGTTCTCCTACAACAACAGCTACCATACCAGCATCAAGGTTGCGCCTTTCGAAGCCCTCTATGGCCGCAAGTGCAGATCCCCTCTGTGCTGGGCTGAGGTGGGCGACACGCAGTTAGCCAAGGGACAAGTCCCAGATAGCACTCTCACTGGTCCTGAAATCATTCGCGAAACCACAGAAAAGATTTTCCGAATCCGAGAAAAATTGAAAGCCTCACGAGATAGACAAAAGAGCTACGCCGACATACGACAAAAACCCTTGGAATTCCAGGTTGGAGACCGCGTTCTGTTAAAGGTCTCGCCCTGGAAAGGCATGAGACGCTTTGGAAAGCGTGGAAAGCTAAATCCAAGATACGTAGGACCATTCGAGATCCTCGCTCGGGTCGGTCCCGTAGCCTACAAACTCCAATTACCTCAAGAGCTTAGTAACATTCATCCCGTCTTCCACGTCTCGAACCTTAAGAAGTGCTTATCCGACGAGACTCTTACTATCCCTCTCGATGAGATTGAAGTCAACGAGAATCTAAACTTTGTGGAAGAACCAATCGAAATCATGGATCGAGAGATCAAACGAACGAAACAAAGTCGCATCCCGATAGTGAAGGTTCGCTGGAATGCCAAGCGGGGACTGGAATTCACTTGGGAGCGCGAAGATCATATGAAACAGAAGTATCCGCATCTCTTTCCCTAGTTCATGATTTTTATTCTATATTCGAATTTCGGGACGAAATTCCCTCTAAGCGGGGGATGATGTGACAACCCGAAACTTTTATCCTGTACAATCGATCTTTATATCAACATTAAACTCGATTTCGTTACCTTTTTACGTCATTTAAGGGTCCGTTTAAGCATTCTAAGCTTGAGTACAGTTGGGAATGAGGTTAGGAATGAGTCAACATGTTGTTTAAAAGAAAAATCGGGCCATATTCCCTCATGAGAGGTGTGTACGGCCGCACACACGGGTGTGCGGCCGCACACCCACCCTCCAGCCATACACCCCCTCATATATAAAGGAGGAGACCCCTCCACTCATTCGTTTCCTTTGGCTTTCTCTTACTACTTCCTCTCTCTAAAAACTTCATCCAAGAACACTCTAAAGGCCTCAAAAACGTGAACCACTTCATCATTCAGCTTGTTATAGTGGTAAGACACTTGAATCTAAGCTTAAAACTCATCGTGTTCTTCGTGTTCTTCATTCTTTGAAGGTGTACGGCCGCACACCTTCATAAGGTGGCCGCACACACACCAAAACTCTCCAAAGTGAAGAGTTTGGCCCCCTATTTTCTAGTTGGACTTGGTATTGGCACTAGAACACCTCAAAACACCTCAAAATCAACATTTCAGGCACAAATGAGGAGTGTACGGCCGCACACTCCTGTGTACGGCCGCACACACCCTCTGTACCTGTGTGCGACCGCACACGCAGCCTGGCCGCACACCCTGGCCGCACACCCACTCAAATGGCCGTACACCTCCCTTATTTGATCATATAGGGTCCTGGCATGCATTTCCAAGTCTTTAGGGTGGTTTCCCGTCATGTTTAGTCATGAAACACCCTAATTCTAACACACATATATGTTATCACATGGTAATAGGATCCACGTGTGTACGAAACATCGGTTGACACTCAACACTCGTAACCAATTGTGCTTTCGGATCCTACGATAAACTGTGAGTTCATACCCCTATACTTTTCCGAGTTTTTCATGTTTTCAGGGGGAGGGGGGGAATACAAGCAAAAGTACAAGGAAACTTGTGCTCAAATATATTATTTTGTTTAAAATAATTACATGTTCAGTATGCTTTCAAACACAGAAAACCGTTTTACCATTCGATTTAGAAATAAACTCGTAGAAACAGTTTTCAAAACTAAAGCACGGAACTTATGAATCTTGTCATAAATTGTGATGTTTTGCAAAGGATTCATACCAACCATAAACAGGGTTTTCTGTATTATTACTTGTAAATTTGTTAGTCTAAGGATTGGAGACACGTCCTTGGTAACACTCCACTGGATTCGTGAGTGTAGGACTACCCTTATAACCAGAATCTCTTGGAGGGAGAGCGTGACTATTGCGTATAGATCTATACGGGACTGACTATCCCGCACCTCACTGCTAGCTACAGTGGGACCGTTAGGTCTACGGGTGACAAAGTCATAAAATGATACTGGCCACCGTACATGCCATATCCAGTTTAATGTATGGTTATGAAACTCGCAACCTAGATAATAGAGATTTACTTTGGTAATAATGAATCTAGTGAACTAACCTCAAAGTAATAACCGATTTGATTACTAGAGGGTATTGATAATACCCTTAGGATCTAGTTCACTACCTACTTATTAGTTCCATTTTTGTAATAAGACTAATACATCTCACGGAGAATAAACAGGGTCTTTCAAGGAAACTACATCTAACGACACAAGTATGGTAGATACTTGTACTTCTCTTTCAGAATCGATAATCAAACATCTTTCATTAGAAAATATGGGATTTTCTTGGTAAACACTTTTCAAAGGATCAAAGGAACCTTTCTTTCACCGGAACTAAACGCTTATGAACCCACCAGCTTTATGCTGATATTCTTTAAAACTGCTTGTATTCTCAGGGCATCAATAGACAGGTATTCCTGCCGACTTTTGAGAAGACGGAGCGTTTCGGATTCACGTCTTTTACTTTTGCTATACTGTTATGTATAAATCATGTTTTTGAACAATGTAAATATTCATATTTAATGGTTGTGTTTACTATGCTTACTATGATACAACTGTTGTGATACTACGCATGACGTCACTCCGCCCCGGAACGTTTCCGCCTTCGGTTTCGGGGTGTGACAAAAGAAAAGGATAAGAAATGAAAATATTTTGGAAAGAATGGGTAAAAGTGGTAAAATCCAAAAAATTGTAAAGAGTTTTGGATTCTAGGATAAAAACTGATAAGTTCTAAAAATATAGGGACCGGAGTTGAAACTTTAACCCTTCTTCGTTTGATCTGTAGAACACGCGTCTTTGACTTTCAAAATAAATTGAAGTTGCCAATTTGCTCAAACTTAGGGGACCGAAATTGTAAAATAGCTGAAGTTTCAGGGACCGATAGTGTAACATGAGTCATCTTCTCCAAATTGCTTCGGATTAAAAGAATACGGCGACTCAGACGAATGATTTCAAACGAATGGTCAAAAGCGAAACGACAGATACGATACCGATCATCCAATAACGTCGATCAACCCTTTCGTTTTCTTCCTTATGTTTGTGTCCGAGTCCAATAGTGCCGCTGTTCGGTCCAAGTACACCCAAAGCGAACCAATTTCAAACACGAACCCAATCACAGGTTCGCTATGAATCTCGATTGACACGTTCGCTGTGAATTAAATCCATATTCCAAATGTTCCCTTTTCGTTCTGAACACAGTGATCGTTTGTGAGATGCGAATCGAGTCAACTGGTTCGTTTAAACGCCGATGATACCAGTCCATTGACTTTTCAAAGTCAAAATTAAAGAACGATCGTATCAAATCCAAACAACAACACCAAAGAAAGTTCCGATCGACAGTATAGCATCGTTCAGATTTCAAATTTTGCTTGAAATCCGATTCCAGATTCCCAATTTTGAATTTCTAAAATCAAATGTCGTTTTCTTTTATGCCGACTATAAATTCCATCTCCGATTAAAAATCCGATTCCGATTCGTTTGATTTGGGGTGAATATTCGATTAAGAAGTTGTTCCAAGTTGTGAATCAATTTCATCATCCAAATGCTAGAACTGTGAAAGCTTGCAAGCTCCGAATGTTGTTGGGTATAATCTTGATGGGTTAAGTGGCTTTTGGTTCATGGGTGTTTGAGTCTTTTATGCATGTTTTATTTTAATAATAAAGGGCTTGGTAAAAGCTCCTTCCGAATGTTATGTATGCAGTTGGATAGAAAAGGTCTTTCATGACCTGGTCCTTAGGATAGTATTTAGTTTGTTTTCTTTATTCCTCACGTGGTGTGTAAGGCCTATATAAGGCATATGTGTGTTTTCAATAAAGGTGTGTGCAAAGTTTTAGTACTTCCTCTGTCATTGTTTATTTAATCTCTCATTCTTTTATCTTTGTTTGTGTATAGTAAACAAAAGGTTGCAGGTTTACATTCTACATTTGGTATTAGAGCACCAGGCTCATACCTGGATCACAGCAAGAAAATAAGATGAAAGCAAGCAGCAAGGTATCACGTTGGTGATATGAAGCACGACTGTTATGTAGCAAGAAACAACATGCAAGTAGTAAGAAAGCAAGAAACAACAGCAAGTAGCAAGAATCAATAAGCAAGTAAGCAAGAAAATAATTAGCAAGAAGAAAGAAGAAAGAAGAAAGAAGAAAAGAAAGAAGTTAGCAGGGCAAGAAGAAGAAGAAAAAAAAACGAGATCAAGATCCTGTTTTTAAACTCGAAATCACAGCAAGAAAATGGTGGAATGTGCAGGTACATCAACACTTCGTGAGCAAGGCAATGTCACACTCCAGTGCCCAAAATTGACTAAAAGCAATTACACTTCATGGTCAATCTTGGTTGAAACTGTTTTGAGAGCACATGGCCTTTGGAAGACTGTTCTTGGAGAAGATGAGGATGAGAAAAGGAACTATACTACAAAAGCTATAATTTATCCTACTCTCCGAGAAGATGTTCTTTTGCAGGTAGCTAAATACAAAGATGCACAAGATGTTTGGGACTCCATTAAGATTCAGTACTTAGGTACCGAACGGGTGGAAAAGGCAAGGTTGCAAACATTAAGGGGTGAGTTGGAAAGATTAAAGATGAAGGATGATGAGACAATCAATGATTTTTCAGGAAAGATAAGTGCAATAGTTGAAAAGTTTAAAAGTCTTGGTTCATCCCTTGATGAAGAAGTGATTGTAAGAAAGTTCCTTAATTCTGTTCCAAAGAAGTATTTGCCAATTGTAGCTTCTATTGAGCAATACTCTGATCTTGAAAGTATGCCACTTGAAGAAGCTGTAGGAAGGATAAAAGCTTATGAAGATAGGCTCAAAAATCATGATGAAAAGGAAGAAGAGCAAGGACAACTCTTGTTAACAAGTTCCAAGGGTAGTGAGCATGAAGATAAGCAATGGGGAAGAGGAAGAGGTAGAGGAAGAGGATTTGGTAGAGGTGAAAGAGGACGTGGAAGAGGCTCGGGTCGAGGTGATAAAAGAGGGTTTAGATGCTATGAATGTGGAGAGTATGGACATTTTGCAAGTGAGTCTACAAAATGGAAAGACAAAGAAAAAGAAGTCAACTTGATTCAAGAGGAAGAAGTAGCTTTAATTTGATAAAGAAATGGTTCAAGAACATCAAGATTAGGGGGGGTGATTGTTGGGTATAATCTTGATGGGTTAAGTGGCTTTTGGTTCATGGGTGTTTGAGTCTTTTATGCATGTTTTATTTTAATAATAAAGGGCTTGGTAAAAGCTCCTTCCGAATGTTATGTATGCAGTTGGATAGAAAAGGTCTCTCATGACCTGGTCCTTAGGATAGTATTTAGTTTGTTTTCTTTATTCCTCACGTGGTGTGTAAGGCCTATATAAGGCATATGTGTGTTTTCAATAAAGGTGTGTGCACAGTTTTAGTACTTCCTCTGTCATTGTTTATTTAATCTCTCATTCTTTTATCTTTGTTTGTGTATAGTAAACAAAAGGTTGCAGGTTTACATTCTACATCTGTAACTACGAATCGATGAAGACGAATGGATGACGCGAACCTTGAATAACGGATGTTTTCTCAATACTAATATAAAACGATTACGAATCGATTGTAACAAACGAGCCAACATCAACGAATGCTTGCAAGATCCGATTCCAATTTCAGTTTCGTTTTTTGTGTCTTGAGGCGAGAGACGAACTCTCTCATCTGTGACTTTCACGTATGTGATATTTCGTTCTGATTTGCAACTGTGAACCATCGAACACGAACCTGTAGATGTAGATGAGGAAGCAAACTTAATCCTCTCGCTCCAAATCAATTGTTCATGAACCGAAAGCAATCAAGGATCGAAAGCTAATTAAGGACCGAAAGCTAATCACGAACCGAAAGCTAATCAGGACCGAAAGCGAATCTCAGTTTCGTTTCAAATTCATACTCAAAGCGAAATAGACCGAACGTTCGGTCTATTTCGGTTCCAATTTTGTTGATGCTACACCCAAAGCGAACGTTCATTTTAATAAGAAACCTGCACATTTGACTTCGCTTCATTGACTTTGATGTTGAGGTTCGCTTTTGGTTGACGGAGTTCGTTGGTTGATTTTGAGTTCGTTTTTGGTTGTAAGGTTCGCATCTTGGCATTCACATTTTGTTTGTTCGTCATCTCCTTTGCACAAGCTTCATCGTCAAATGTGCGTCGTTAGCAGATGCAGATTAAGGAAATCATCACATTTACATTGTTGACCCCTAAAGAATCAGCGAAGTAACACATTCATCCCTTTACATCATCATTGTTAAGAACCGAAACCTCTATTGACAATAAATCCGAAAGCAACCCCTTCTGTTACAGTGAACTGACATTTCCAACTCACTTTATGCTGTAATGTCAGATTGCAGCCTTCTTTTTGCAGAAAAGTCACATTTTCACTCACCTTTTCAACTTTTTCAGCCTTTTATTATTTCCAATCAATTAAAAATCAATAAAATTGATTTCTTCAACACAATATCATATCTTTGACTCAAATCCACCAGATTTCCCAAGATTTGATCCCTTTTTTGATTTTTTTTTTTTTTTTGATAAAGGTCAAAACTTTTTATGGGACTTTTGGTACCTTTTAAGATTCAACATTGAAGTATGTTTCTTGCATACCCACTTATTTGAAGAAAATCTATCATCCTCTGAATATAATATACGCTTTTGAGTTGGAAAACAAAAATTTCCAAAAAATTCGTTAATTAAACCAACCAAATTCTCTTTTCTCTTCCTTCCAACTTCTAACATTTTTATCTGAAGAAAAATGAGAACTAAAGTTCCTTTGAACATTTTTGACTTCAGCTTTTTGAACATTTTCACATGCATTAGATACTTGTACCTTGGGCATCCAAACCTTCTTTGTTTTACTCTTGTTCTTCTTCCTCTTCTTTCTTCTTTTCTGATTTCTAGGCTTCATAAACGAATTTCGGATCTGAACAACTTTTTCTTCTTTCTGAATCTGAACATTTGAAGACTTTTGAACACAATCCTTAGGAGTTTGATAAATCTGAACATCTTTAATTATTGGTTTTTTGTAAGAAACCAATCCTTCAAAGACATCATCAACACACAAAAAATCATCTGTAGTTGTTCCAATAGAGCAAAACTCCTCCACTTTCACGATTTTCGAAGATTTATTTTGACATTCTTCTTCAGAACAACTAGATTCAGATTGTGAAGCTTCTAAAAGACTTGAAACACTTGACTCCCCCTCAACAAGAACATCTAGAGTCACTTTTTCTTCAGAAACTTGAAGAACATCATGAACTTTATTAAGAACACCAATAACACCTTCTTTTTCTTTTCTTTCTTTCTCCGACTTCTATTGTATATGCTTCAAAAGTAAGTATTCTTTGATAATGATAAACTGTTTTAACAAATCTTTATCTTGCTCTACACAATTACTTTTAAATCCACCACTAGAGATATGTGTGAAATCACCAATCTTCTCATCAACATAGAGATTATACATCTCAATGGCATTCTTCAACATAGATTGTTCAGGAACATCCCAAAACAAATATCCTTCTTTAAGAAGAAACTTTGGATCTGTAACTTTTAATCCTAGTCTTTTCATGTCTTTTAACACCTTATAGTCCGCCATTTAATCTTCAACAAGAAAGAAAACCTGAAGATAGAGAAAGTAGATCTGATGAGAGTTCTAGAGAGAGAAAACAAATATGAGATGGTTTCTAGAGTGATAAAGTAGATCTGAACACAAATACTTTGACAAATCATGAAATTCTTCTTCTTTTTCTTCCAAAACATGAATTAAGAACAAATAATATGGTAGAATGGGTAAAGATAATAGATCTGAACAAGATTTGACAATAAAACGAAGTAGTAGACTTTTTCTTTTCAGAAAACTTACAAAACTTGAAGAACAAGGTGAGATTCAAGATAAAATTTCGCCATACACAAGATCGATTCTTGCAAAAATCGTTGAGATCTACAAGAACCTCTGATAACACTTGTTGAGAATAAATCTGAGATGATGAATGCGGAATATCAAGAACAATCAGAATCAATCACCACAATATGCAAGTAATCTGATAAAGGTTTTTCTTGTATTGATTATGAGATGAACGTACAGAGAAAACCCTAATCTGGTCAAAAGCTTACACCAAAAGTAAACCTAATGATTATTTATAGGGAACAATAAATATCTACCATAAATATAAAATAAATGTCTAATATAAAACCAATGCCTTAGAAGAGCTCGATTAAGAACTTCTACTGTAAAGGCATCGTAGGGAATCATAAAATGATTAACCCTAAAAAGGCTTCCCTAAATAACCAAATATGCCAAATCAGTTTCAATATCTCAAATACTCAACAATAAGAAGAAAATTTCAAAATTCAAGGGAGAAGGCTAGGGTTTTCCAAAACCCTAACCCTAATTTCGATTAGGGTTCATGGAGGCTAGGGTTTTTCGAAAAACCCTTTGAACCAAAAACCCTAAAAACGAAACCATGGACTTTTAGGGTTTAGTAGCTATAAACCCTAATTTTCAATTCAACTATTATAGCTATTCAATTTAAACAAAATCAATCGCTCTGATACCACTGATGGGTTTTAGGTGAAACAAATAACTAGAAAAACAATTCCTAAGTTCACATGCAACCTACTTTGGATCTATGTTTTAACTATTGAACATACAACTTTGATTTGCAAAACAAGAACCCTAAGGAGAGAGGCTATTTTCTAAAATAACAAATTAGGGTTTAGAGTTGCATACCTTTCAATTGTTATAGCAAGCAATTGGTAATCCTTTGATCTTGATCTTCTTGGAAGCCTAGCACCACAAATGTAATGACTCTAATGGAATCACACCCAAGAGCTAGCAAGAAGGAAACGTATGAGAGAGAGGCTAGGGTATGCAAAAATCGGCCTAGGGTTTCTTTAAAAGAAGGAGTGCCAATTTTGGGAGCCAGGAGGCTCTTTATATAGCTGAGGGATCTATGGTTTAGGGAAAACCCTAATGTTCCTTTGCTTAGGGCTTAAGCTTATCCAAAAGCCTTATCTAAGCCCCTTGGACGAAATCATTAGGGTTTCCCCTATAGATTTCGTCCACCACCTTCCAAGGAGGTTCTGGAACCTTACACTCAACTATTGGATAATTGCAAACTAGTCCCTGCACTTTATAATTAACATAGTTAACCCCAAAATCAATTCTAATTAATTTATGGCTAACTATTAATTAAGTATTATGATTTCTAATTAATATATTAATATTTTAACATATTAATAAATCATTTATATTAATTTATTAATCTTATAATAAATCAATATCTCTCCTTTCATAATTTCCCTATCCAGTTGTTAGGTTTGAGGGTAACCCAAAAGGACTATGCTGCTATCAATTCAAGTACATACCAATTATAGTTATGGGCTTAGGCACCTAATCCAACATTATAGCCTAGGAGATCATTTGTGAATGCTTTGCTCGGGTTGAAACTAGGATTGCAGATTGATCAGTGTATACCCTATGGTTGTGCATGAGTAGGGTTGCATAACATTAAAATATTTGATTTAACCTTACTTCCTGTTCCTTGTATGGTTGTGGATTTGGGGTGGAGTCCTTATTTGAATGTCTATCGAGTCCAGGTTATGTACAATTAGTATACGTGGAGCAATTGGTGAGATTTGCGGAGACTTCTTGCAGAGAGGAGTTATGGCTGAGCAGACACCTAGATGTGTACCTAGGTGTTTAGAGGTGGCTTCTAGAGCACATAGGTGTAAATGTGTTATGAGAATAATGTTTTGTAACTTGAGACCTGGAGAGGAATCTAAGTCAACTACGGATAGGTATGGAAGTTAGTATGGACCCGTACTAATGAAAGCACAAGATCTGTGTGCGATTTAGGAAGAATCTCGAGGGGGTACCGAGGAGTTATTTGGGATATATTTGTATCTATGTGTGCTTTTAGTCTGGTTTTGTTCTTTTTCCTTATGTATTTTAGTATGATGTTTACTCGAGGTTCAAGCTTTAACGACCCAAAGAGGCAGTGTATCAGTGATGATGGGATCCGTCTGATCATTGCCACTGAGGTGGTCGCGGACGTCAGGGAGGCTATCACGGAGGTATTTAGGTCTATC